CCACCCACCCCCAACACCCCCCCCAATCCACCCACCCCCACAAAAAAAAAGATAAAATAAAAAAATATCATTGTTATTGGAGAAATCTCTTATACCAATTCATAACAACCGTAAACGTGAGGGTTAAAGACAAAATCTCAATAAAGACCGAAAGCGGCCCACTGGCCGAGAGCTTCGAACCGAAAGGAGTACGCTGGCCGCGCCCGAGATCTAAGGACCGAAATGGTCCACTGGCTGTGGTCGAGAGCTAAGGATCGAAAGTGGCCCACAGGCCGACAGCTAAGGACCATTGCTTTAAATATTTAACTACTGCCTTGGGGGAGCAGAATTCTTGAAGGGAGCAAATTGTTAATAGTAGATGTTTAGGCGTCGTAATGAATATTCTCTTCTAATTCGGTTCAAATTCGCGACCAACCTAAAACCAATGTTGACAAGTTAACATTTCCCATCATAATCATCAATAATATTTTTAAAATATATACATAAATCTATAGTTGGTAAATCTTCAGGCATTTTTGTTTCCAAACTGATATGTAAATATAATATGGGGGTGGGGGGTAATAATAAAGAATATAGCATCAATCATTGAAACTAAAATCATGACTAATGTTTAAAAATATTTTAATTTGATGAATTTAAAAAGAAAGGTCTGTCTGGTAATGGCAAGGTGATGGCCAGCAGTAATGCAAAGTCTTTCAGTATTCATGGAAGTGCTTGGCCAGAGGAGATAGACATAAACAAACAACAACAACAACTCACACTTTAGTTATAACCTTAATATTTAATTTTGTTTAAAAATAGAGGATAATATATTAAGAGTTGTATGTACATTTATTTTCAAATGTAAATCTGGAACCAAAAGCCCACCTTGCTGAATACGCGCGGGGTCATCCTGTCACCCCACTCCACAGCACTCCACCCAAATCCACTCCACCCCAGTCAACTCCACTCCACCCCACTCTACCCTAGTCCACTCCACCCCAGGGCACTCCCACTCCAACCCACTCCACCCCAGTCCACTCCACCCCAGTCCACTCCACCCCAGTCCACCCCAGTCCACTCCACCCCACTCCACTCCACCCCACTCCTCTTCACCCCACTCCACCCCACTCCACCCCTGTCCACCCCTGTCCACCCCAATCCACTCCACCCCAGTCTCCACTCCACCCCCGCCCACCCCAGTCCACTCCACCCCCCGCCCCCCCACCCCACCCCACTTCACCCCACTCCACCCCACTCCACCCCTGTCCACCCCTGTCCACCCCAATCCACTCCACCCCAGTCCACCCCACTCCACCGCACTCCACCCAAATCCACTCCACCCCAGTCAACTCCACTCCACCCCACTCTACCCTAGTCCACTCCACCCCAGTGCACTCCACTCCACGCCACTCCACCCCAGTCCACTCCACTCCACCCCAGTCCACTCCACTCCACTCCACCCACTCCTCTTCACCCCACTCCACCCCACTAAACTCTACCCCAGTCCACCCCAATGGCGGCAAAATGTCGGGTGATTTATTTATGTTAAAGATCGACGAGAAACTGGGAAATGGAGAAGGGAAGGGGAAGTGGGGGGGGGAGTTGGTGGTTCGGGGGCGGGGGACAGTTCCGTGGCCTTCATAGGGAACAGGTAGAGGAAGTCCAGAAATCAATATCCTAACGGTTTGTATAATCTCTGTCAATGGTTTAACTTTGTAAACAGACCGTGTGCGAGACCCGTTGAGAGCAACAATGACCACGAGTCAGCCAGCGGGACCAGAGAACCAGAACCTATGTGGCTAGATGAATTCTGGAAGTCAATGGGGTGTCATCGAAGTTTTAGCAGGCAGTAACCTGTCAGTGGTTGGGGCTGTTGCAATGTCGTGCAGAATTCTGTGCAGCAGCAAACGTTGTTATTATTGGCAGCTGACGTTTGGGTTATTTATGTTACAATTTTTGTTTGTGTCATGACTCGTACCTCTAATAAAAGTAAACAGAAAAAAACAACAACAACAACGATTTCATAGAAGATTCATTAAACTACTTTTTAAACAGTCCAACTCTCTTATAAATAGTTAAATACTTTTTAAACAGTCCAACTCTCTTATAATTAGTTAAATACTTTTTTAACAGTCCAACTCTCTTATAATTAGTTAAATACTTTTTAAACACTCCAACTCTCGTATAATTAGTTAACTACTTTTTAAACAGTCCAACTCTCTTATAAATAGTTAAATACTTTTTAAACAGTCCAACTCTCTTATAATTAGTTAAATACTTTTTTAACAGTCCAACTCTCTTATAATTAGTTAAATACTTTTTAAACACTCCAACTCTCTTATAATTAGTTAACTACTTTTAAACAGTCCAACTCTCTTATCATTAGTTAACTACTTTTTAAACAGTCCAACTGTCTTATAATTAGTTAAACACTTTTTAAACAGTCCAACACTCTTATAATTAGTCAAATACTTTTTAAACAGTCCAACTCTCTTATAATTAGTCAAATACTTTTTAAACAGTCCAACACTCTTATCATTAGTTAACTACTTTTTAAACAGTCCAACTCTCTTATAATTAGTTAAATACTTTTAAACAGTCCAACACTCTTAAACTTAGTCAAATACTTTTTAAACAGTCCAACTCTCTTATAATTAGTTAAATACTTTTTAAACAGTCCAACACTCTTATAATTAGTTAAATACTTTTAAACAGTCCAACTCTCTTATAATTAGTTAAATACTTTTTAAACAGTCCAACTCTCTTATAATTAGTTAACTACTTTTAAACAGTACAACTCTCTTATAATTAGTTAAATACTTTTTAAACAGTCCAACTCTCTTATAAATAGTTAAATACTTTTTAAACAGTCCAACACTCTTATAATTAGTTAACTACTTTTAAACAGTCCAACTCTCTTATCATTAGTTAAATACTTTTTAAACAGTCCAACTCTCTTATAATTAGTCAAATACTTTTTAAACAGTCCAACTCTCTTATCATTAGTTAAATACTTTTTAAACAGTCCAACTCTCTTATAATTAGTTAAATACTTTTTAAACAGTCCAACACTCTTAAACTGAGTCAAATACTTTTTAAACAGTCCAACACTCTTATAATTAGTTAACTACTTTTTAAACAGTCCAACTCTTTTATAATTAGTTAACTACTTTTTAAACAGTCCAACACTCTTATAATTAGTTAAATACTTTTTAAACAGTCCAACTCTCTTATAATTAGTTAAATACTTTTTAAACAGTCCAACTCTCTTATAATTAGTTAAATACTTTTTAAACAGTCCAACTCTCTTATAATTAGTTAAATACTTTTTA